TTGACGCAGCCCTTCCGAGGAAGCCCGATGCTGGCTGCCCCCGCCTGGGAAGCTCTTGTGCAACAGCCTGGCCCGTGTCCTCGGGGAAATCCCACCCTGTCTTGTTCCTCCCAGCCTCTGGACCACCCCCAGGGTCGGTGGCTGTCCCGCCGCAGCACTGACGCCCTCCCGGCACTGCTGCCTGTGGTCCAGCTGCAGACATCAGCCCAGTCACCTCCCCGTGTCCCCAAAGGGGCTCCAATGGGTCATGTCAACATTTTTGACACCCGTCCCACTTTCTTTTCCTTTGCGGGAGGAAGTTGTTTACTCCCCTCTGACCTTTCAAGGATGCTGCTGTTATGGGAACCGGCCTCTGTGAAATCAGCTGAATCCCTCAAACGGGGGCTGATCAGCTGCAGACATCAGCCCAGTCACCTCCCCGTGTCCCCAAAGGGGCTCCAATGGGTCATGTCAACATTTTTGACACCCGTCCCACTTTCTTTTCCTTTGCGGGAGGAAGTTGTTTACTCCCCTCTGACCTTTCAAGGATGCTGCTGTTATGGGAACCGGCCTCTGTGAAATCAGCTGAATCCCTCAAACGGGGGCTGATGCAGCAGCTTCCAGTTTGGGAAGAGGCTGCCACCCCCTCCGATGGTTTTTGGGTCCGTGGCAGCAGCAGCAGCATGGCTTTTGCAGGAGCTGGCGCCAGCCGTGGACTGGATGCCCTTCCTCTCCACTGTCTTCTACCCTGTGGAGCTCAATGAGTCGGAGCCTGTCGTGGTCTACGCCAAGGAGTACCTGGAGCAGGTCTCCGACCTCATCTTGGCCACTGATAAATGGTGAGAGCCCCCAGCCTGTGCACAGGGGTGCCCGGGGTGGGCAGGCACGTCCCGCTGTCCACTCACCACCTCTCACCGCAGTCTCCTCAACAACTACATGATCTGGAACCTGGTGCGGAAAACCAGCCCCTTCCTCGACCAGCGCTTCCAGGATGCTGAGGAAAAATTCATGGAAGTGATGTATGGGACGAAGAAGGTGAGGGGGGAGCCCCCAACACCCCTAAATCACCATTAAAATGGCAGCAGCTTTTTAAGCAAAGTCCCCATCATGTTGCATCCCAATTTAGGGATGGGGGGCAGGTTTGGGAGGGCCAGCAGGGGGAGGGATGCAGACCCCATCTCCTGGCATGACAAGGGGGTGGGAAGGTGGGGGGCTTTGACCATGCCACCGCTGGCAACCACCTCTCGTCCCCTGCAGACCTGCCTTCCGCGCTGGAAGTTTTGCATCAGTGACACGGACAACAACCTGGGCTTCGCCCTGGGAGCCATGTTTGTCAAGGCCACCTTCGCCGAGGACAGCAAGCAGGTGGTACGTCCCCAAGCGAGCAGCAATGGCGGATGGTTGGGGCAGCCAATGTTTCTCTGCGCACCTTTTTTTCCCACCGTGCATCTCCATTCACTGCGTTTTTCACCGCTCCACGTGCCATTTTGGCATCCCGGCCTCTTCCTCCCCACCAGTGCAATGGGTCCTTGAAGTCTCCGGGGTGGGAAGCCAGCTCTCTGGACTGACACTGTGCCGCCCTGTTTTGCCTAGGCAGAGGAAATGATTGCGGAGATTAAAACAGCCTTCGAGGAAAGCCTGGAGACCCTGCAATGGATGGACGAAGAGACGAGGAAGTCAGCCAAAGAGAAGGTGAGGAGAGGGTGATGGGGGAGGGTGGTGGGGCCGGCAGAGCCTGTCCTTCCATCCCTGGCACCAAAAGCACTCTGGTCCTTGTCACCCCCCCAGGCAGATGCCATCTACAACATGATCGGCTACCCCAAGTTCATCATGGACCCCAAGGAGCTGGATAAAGTCTTTAACGACGTAAGCTGTTCAGATACGTCCCCTGGGTCTCCTATTCCCCCTTCCACTAGCACGTGTGGGACATGTGCCCATCACCATGGCCTCAGGGCAGCCTTGAAGCCCAGGTATCCTCCAGAAGGGACTCACTAATGTCCTTGGCCCTTCTCTGGTACTTCCCAGAGAGCTGTGGGCCAGTCCTGGGATGGCTGGGGCTCTTGGGATCCCTGCCTGGGAAGAGGAGGAGCCGTTTTCCATAATGGTGACTCATTGTCCTCCCGGGACTCAGCAGATGTTGGAAAGGAGGACAAATGAGAGGCTGTAACTCGGCCTGCTCCAGGGGCTCAAACATGACAGTGGAGGGAGGAGCGAGGCCAGGCGATTACCACACGCTGCTCACGCCTTGCTCTTTTGCAGTATGAGGCTGTGTCTGACCTCTACTTTGAGAACGTCATGCAGTTTTACAACTTCTCGGCCAGGGTCACTGCCGACCAGCTCCGGAAACCGCCAAACCGGGACCAGTAAGTCCTCCACTCCACTTCCCCGTTGTGCTCAGCGGCGAATATCACAATAGCTGGAGCACTGGGATTTGGTGTCCACCACACCATGCTGGGTTTGGGGAGTGAAATTTGGGCCGACAGCTTTGCACCGTGATAAGCAGGTGGTGTCACAGCAAACATCAGCGATGGGTTTGTGCTGCCACACTGGCCGTGTCCATGTCCCCACAGGTGGAGCATGACTCCTCCAACGGTCAATGCGTACTACTCTCCCACCAAGAACGAGATTGTCTTCCCCGCCGGCATCCTCCAGGCCCCTTTTTACACTCGTGCATCTCCCAAGTAAGAACCTAGGGAAAATGGGAAGGGTAGGATCCCCAAATTTCCTCCTGTCCCAAATTCTGAAGCTACATTTCATGGCTGCGGGGAGCAGCGGCTGCTCTCTAATTCTCAGCACTGTCCTCCTGCAGGTCGCTGAATTTTGGTGGGATTGGCGTGGTGGTGGGCCACGAGTTAACGCACGCCTTCGATGACCAAGGTATGGCCAGGGCCAGGTGGGTGGGTTGCTGGGGGGGTGGCTGGTGGAGTGATGGAGGACTCACCGTGTTTTCGGCAGGTCGGGAATATGACAAGGACGGCAATCTGCGTCCCTGGTGGAAGAACTCCTCGGTGGAGGCCTTCAAGCGTCAGACAGAGTGCATGGTGGAGCAGTACAGCAATTACACCGTCAACGGCGAGGCTGTCAATGGCAAGCACACACTTGGGGAGAACATCGCCGACAACGGGGGCCTGAAGGCCGCTTACCGGGTAGGGCCACGGGGCTGGGGACATGCGGTGGGTGGCACGGTGTGGTGTGATCCGTGTCATCCCCTGAGCCCACTGTGCTCTTTGGCCTCCAGGCATATCAAAACTGGCTGAAGAAGAACGGGGATGAGGAAACCCTGCCAACCCTCGGCCTCACCAACCACCAGCTCTTCTTTGTCGGCTTTGCCCAGGTAGGTCACTCGGTGGTGGGCAGCGAGGACAGATACAGAGGTTTTTGGGAGGTGGAGGCACGCCCAGATGGTGTTGGGAGAGTGTGAGAGCAAAACCAAGGTCTCCAGAGATGCTGCGTGGTGGATGCAGAACCAGATCGGGGTGGTGCCGGTTACAAAGCGAGACAAAGCTGGAGCTTGAGCTGCGTTGGCGCCCATCACGCAAGCGGGGAGGTCTCATCCGGCACCAAGTGGGGCTCTGTGGTTGCGGACACTGACGCTCACACCTCTCACCCTCCACTTGCAGGTGTGGTGTTCAGTTCGCACGCCGGAGAGCTCGCACGAGGGACTCATCACCGATCCCCACAGCCCCTCACGTTTCCGCGTCATTGGCACCGTCTCCAACTCCCGGGAGTTTGCAGAGCATTTTGGCTGCCCCCTCGGCTCCCCCATGAATCCCCCCAAGAAGTGTGAAGTCTGGTGATGGCCGAGCGTCCGAGGGAACCTGCTGCTGGTTGCTTTGTCCTCTGCCAACGGCTGAATTTCCCCGGCTCTTTCGAGAGGCTCAAACCACTTCTCTGTAACGAACTGCCCAGCTCTCAACCGGAGCGGCGCCCCGCGTCCCCGGTATTGTCCGAGGTTCGATCCACTGTGAAAATTCCTCATCCTCTTGCTCATTTGTGAAATGACTTCGATTTGGGGGTCATTTCTCTCTCACTATGACCAGGCCATGTGTCAAGGCACGTGTGTCCATGGGCGCTACCCCGTATTTACACACGAGGCAATTCAG